CCTAGTACCTTGGAGGGTGCTCATCTCCAGGACAGTCCTGACTTTAGAAAATGAAGACACCACAGAAAGGCCACCTCAGAGGTCCTATCTGCATCATTTCCTCTCACCTTCCAAAAACATTAGGAGGCCCTGGCTGGCTGGGCTCAGATGGTTGAGTGTTGTTCTACAAAACAGAAGGTGGCCAGTTCCCGACCAGGGAACATGCCCAGGTTGCAGCCTGGTCCCTGGTTGGGGCATGTGCAAGAGGCAACAGATCAATGTTTCTCTCACACATCGATGTTTCTTTCTCTTTCTCCCTCCCTTCCCCTCTCTCTAAAAATAAATAGAATCTTTTAAAAAAAATGTTGGGGGTAGTTTTGATATATAGAGACTTTCAGGAAAGATAACCTAGTTCCTGCTTCATTCATTGCTCCAACCGCAGCTGGTTCTCTCTCCATGTCCAGTATCCCGAGCTAGCTGAGGCTGACTCAGGCCTTTTCTTCAGATGCAGAGTAAACATTATACCTGCAGCCTGCCCAAGGGGAAGGCAAGACCTAGGACAGCAACAAAGCAGGGCGGGGAAGCCCCTTGGCCCCCAGCCGCACTAGAATGTGGTAAACAAGGTCTGTGTTGCAATAGGGCACCTCGAGTGGAGGTCGGAATGCAGGGCTGGCGCCCAAGGCAGGAGGCAAAGGGCAAGAGGGAATCAGGGAACTGTGAGGGGGAGGCTGAGAGAAGAGGCAGATAGGTGGGTGAAGGAAGGCAACCAACAGGGAGAAGGAGGCGAGAGGCCATAGGGCTGATGCTGCTACCTCTCCAAGGCCACAGAGCAGGCAGCAGTTGAAAAGGTCAGAAGTCCAGGCACTGAGGCAGGCAGGGTTCATCAGCAGCTTTGAAGCTGCCCAGTGAACTCAAGTGGGGCTCCCAGCATACTCCCTGTGACTGCCTCTGGGTCTCCTGAGTGCACCTGCCCCACCCAGCCCCTCAGAACAGGTGCCCCTGCCCCCTCAACACCAACTTCTCAGAGGAGAAAACTCCAAGGCAGGGATATTCCTCTTCAGACTGAAGCTCCTGAAGGGCAGAGGTGAAGCTGCCTCTCCCATCTAAAGTTTCCTTGGGTCAGGGACCCTGGTGGTCAAGATCATAAGTTACTGAGCATTTCACACACACAGTGCCTCATGAGACCCTCAGAACACCAAAAGTGATGCGTTTCCCCACTTTACAGAAAACCAAGGCTCACAAAGAAGTAATTTGCTCAGGACACATCTGAAGCCTGGTTGGTTACTTGGCAAACTTTATTGACTGGTCTCCACTCTTGGAACTGGGCATGCAACAGTGAGAGAGAGAGAGTCTCAGCTCTCAGGGAATGTACAGTTTTAAGGAGGGAAATAGAAAATCCAAGAAACAGACAAATACAAAGTTCAGGTAGTGATTAAGAAAGTATAAAGATCATAGGGGCAAGTATATGGGGTGCTACTCTGGCTGGGGAAGTCAAGGGAGACCACTGAAGAGGTGACAGCCTGTCCGGTGGAACCCAGGGAAAGGCCAGCCACATAAAGAGAACACTGAACACAGAAGCCTTGAGACTGGATGGAACTTCCTGCCCAGGGTCCAAGCTGGCATGTGTGGTTGGAGCTGAGAGTAAGAGGGGTGGGCGGGGGCCAGATAACCCCTGCCTCATGAACCTTGGGAAGGAGGAAATTGGAAGATATAAAGAAACAGAGAAGAGGTGGGATGGAGGCAGGGACGTCAGGCAGGAGGCTGTTACACAAGCATCCCCTTTAGAGATGATGGGGCCTAGAGTGGGGGAGAGGAAAGGATGAAATTTTCCCAAAGGTGTCAGGGAATAGGGAAACAGAGGGTGTGGGCCTGAACTGGGGAGGCCAGGGGGAGAGCAGAAATGAAGAGGAGGCAGATTTTGACCCTAAAATTCAAGCACTTGACTACCAACAGATACTTTGTCTTTTTCTTCTTTGTCCCTCATTGACTGGGACAGTGGTGGGTACTGTCCACCCATTGTCGGTATTCAATCAACACATTATGTATTTAATGAATATTTCCTGAGCACCTACCAGATGCCGGCCTCTGTCCTAGGCACCAGGGATATACCAGTGAACATGACAAAGTCCTTGGCAGCTTGGAGCTTATACTATAGAGAGAAAGAAGATGTATCTTTGTGCGTGTGTGTGTGTGTGTGTGTGTGTGTGTGTGTGTATAAGAGAGGAGGAAAAAGAGAATGGAGGGGGTTGTTTCAGATGTGGCAGTCATTGTAAGCTTCTCTGATCAGGTGACATCTGAGCTCAAAACTCAAAGGAGTGAGGTGGTGAGTCTTAGATGTGATTATCTTAAGGAAGCACATTTCAGGCAGAGGAAGCAGCAAGTACAAAGGCCCAGAGGTGGGAGAGTGCTTGTTGTCTGACTAATAGATTTAGTCTTTATTGATTCATTAATCAATACCTGTGTTGCTATTATGAAACTCTCTAAGAGCAACACTTAGATCCTTCTTATCAGACAAGAGAATCAGAAGGGTGCTGTGGGCCCACTTCCTCCCTTCTTTTTGCTATTCCTCTTTTCCTGACCCTGACCCAGCCTAGAATCAGGCATGGGAGAGGGACAGGTATTGAATCTGTCACACTGTCTGGAGAAAAGGCAGAGAAAGTCAAGGAACAGGGTAGGCTCTGTGCTAACACAGGGGCCACTAGTCACCCATTGCTATATTTGGTTTAACCCTTGAGGGTCCTGTCCTGTCACCCCACCCACACTTATGCCCCTGCTTGGCTCCCATGGCACTAGGAATCCTCTCCAGACAGCCATTTCTGCTGAGTTACCTGCTTCTGTCACTATCTCCCTAGGGCCTGGCAATACACTGAGAGAGTGCTATGGATGCTGCCACACCCCACTCTACCCCACGCACTGCGCACCAAGGGGTTACCCAGGAGACTCTGGGATCCTAGAATGCAGAGAGGGCCAGCCCTGGTGACCAGCTCATAGACTTGATGTCTGGTCCTTAGCACAAACTCCACCCAGACTCCGACCTGTGTTCTGGGCTTTCTTATGACTATAAAATAACTGGAACTGGACTGTCACTTCCTATTCCTAAGTCATTTCTGTCTCTCCAGCTATCTTGCTGACATGTTACTCTAAATTCCACTGATTCAAGACTTTCTATTCTTAGCAAGAAAGCAAACAGACAACATATTCCCAACATGCCTGACCACACACAGAAATCTTAGGAGGTACAAGAACCTGACAGTTCTTTCTGATTTGAATTCCAGGCACTCCCCTCCTGGTCACACAAAATGTTGCTGGACCTGATATCCTAGAAGGGCCCTTCCACAGAGTGTTCTAGGGCTCTATAAAGCAACACCCACCAGGGCCAGGTCCTCCATTCCTGTGTCAGCCCCTTCTTTGAAGCCCAGGGCTGCAGAAGGAGGAGTATCTGGCTTCTGGGACCCTTGATTACAGAGAAGGCAGGTGGGGGCCATGGAGGGTAGGCACCCAGCAGAGAGGGGTTGGCCTGTCTGGGCCTGGCTAGCTAGCACCCCTTTGCCTTAGCTCTGTGATTCTCAAAGCAGGGCCCCCAGACCAGCAGCAGTAGCATCATCTTACTAGAAATACACCAGGTGGGGCCTTACCCCAGATCCACTAGGTCGAAAATTCTGGGGTGGGTCCAACAGTCTGTATTAACAAACCCTTCTGGTGATTCTGATGTAAAATTGTGGCAGGAACTCAGATCCAGACTCGTTCTGCCAGTTAAGTCCAGTCCCAGTTCTCCATTAGTTCAAATGTGGGGGGGGGGGGGGCGCCATGGCCCTCCTGTGCCTGGGCCCTGAGGACTAGGTTAGAGGATTTTCACAAGGTGTCTTTGGCAGTGATGGAATCAGATGAACATCTGACTGGGAAATGCACAGATAATTGTGAGTTTCCCCCTTTCTCACATGGCTCCTGGGGAAAGACCTAAGTTGTTTTGAATCCTTGGGTAAGGTCAGAGGGAAGCTGCCTGCCTGCCTGCCTGCCTAAATGAATGAATGAATGATCCAAATAATTTTATTTACCCCATGTAATGAAGGAGAAAAGGGATCCCCCTCCATACTAACACACTTCCCTACAAACTGCGATGGGAGGGGAGGGTCTTAATTGGAAATTGCTGTCCTTGGGCCTTCCTGCCCACCCCCATCCCTTTTTGGTGTGGAGACTTTATACACTGCCTCCTTGAGTACTCAGTCTCCATCAGAAGTCGAGGAAGAACAATGTCTTTTGCTTTGTCGTGTTTGCCTTTTTGATGGTCGCTTAGGAGGCCACAAGGGAGGCAGGTTTGTAAATCTCCCTTTTGGGGAGAGAAAACTGACGCAAGAAGGATTGCCCCGTAGGTTCTCTGCCATTCATTTACTGGGGGCCTCGCCAAGACCCCGACCTTTCGTAAATATTATCTGGTTATTATCCGTGACTCAGACTGGTTAATCAAGAAGCCCAAGGTCACCCAGCGGGTGGTGAAGGCAATAGGGTCGACTCCTGCCTCCTCTCTCTACACCCTACCGCCTCCTCCAGACGCTCTACTCGGCAAGCTGGGGCGGGAACCCCGGCCCTTCCTCCGATGCCGTCCAGCCCTTGAGGAATCTGCCCCTCAGGAGACGTAGTCTCTGAGGTTCGGAAGCAACAGAGTGACTCCTGGCCCGAAGTCAACCGGGTCAGCCCTCCTCCTAGTGTCAATCCTCCTCCCTACGACCCGGGGGTCTTACCCCTGCGGGCCGGGTGCTAGCACCTTCTCCGCGAGCCCCGCCTTCCCCCACGTGCCCGCCCCTCCTACCCACCCCCAGAGTGGGGGGGCCCTCTGGGCTGCCCTGCTGACTCAGCGTAAACTGAGCCGCGGAGGGTGGCGGTGGGGGCCGGCTGAGCCCGCCCCGGGTTAATCTCTTGGTTTTGAAAGCAGCTTCCCTTCCCCGCCCTCCGACCGGCCCCGCGGCCTCCCAGCTCCGCCCCCGGGGAGAAGTCCCTGGACCGGCGCCGGCGTCCGTAGGCGACGCCGAGCGGCTGCAGGGAGCGAGTCCGAGCAGCGGAGCCCCGGTGCAGCATGACTGCTATAGCCGTGCAGGTAGCCCCGGGATCCCCAGAGGGCCGGCGTCAGCCTCACCCATGGGGGAGGAAAGAGGATTCGCCCCGCGAGCCAGTTCCAGCCACCGGCGGTGGCTGGGAGAGTAGTGCCCTGCCTTGTGGACCCAGACAGCAAGCTGGCGGGGCCCGAGGATGGTGGGCGGGAAGCGACTGGGGGTGGGGGTGCGTCCGCCCCCGCCTCTGCTCGCGGCTCTGTCAGCCCCCGAAGCTCCCAAACTTATTTTTCTCCTTCTCGGAGTCACCAGTGCCCATCGGTTAGGTTCACCAAAGAGGTCCCTCCCTTTTAAAAAGGAGGTGCGTTTGGGGTGAAGCGTGGATAGAATCCATTTGCAAAGTGAGGATTGCCTCATGTGACCTGAGGATGCGTCTTTGGGGGGTCAGAACTTCTTTAGATAGAGGCTGGAAAGACCATCTCCCCTTCCCCAAAATGCGTTCAGGAGTTTTGAGACGGGGATGGGCTCGCTGGGGCGCTCGGACGCCTCAAAGAAAAGGGCCTACTGAGGGGAGCGGCCTTCATCTCCGAAGTTTTGTTTTCTTCTTTGGGTGGTGCAAGATATTTGTATTGCCTGAGAATCCACCCATTCCTTCCACCTCTCTCCGGAGAGCAGCTGTCTCTAGGGAGGTCAGCAGGTGGCGAGACGCTACCCTGCGCGCGCGCTTCTTTGGCGCGAAGGCGGCCCACCAGCTGGTCTTCACAAGAGTCCAGCAGCTGGGCTGTCCTGACGATTAGAGGCTCCCAGACTTTGCATGCAGGTACTCAAACTCCCACAACACTGACTCAAGTAGGTACCTCTGTGCTCATTTTATAGATAAGGTAACTGAAATTTGCAGGGTAGGAACCTGACCATACGGCAGCTAAGCGACAGAATCGAGATTCAAAACCAGGATTTGTTGTTTCCAAATCTCACCCATACTTTCTTCCTTTCCCTGAAAATAACCCCCACCCACAGGCTATCCCCCAAACGCCTTCTAACCGGGGACCAGAACGCGATGCAGCAAGTTCCTCCTCTTTGTTCTGGGGAAGAATCTTTTGTCAACCAGGCAGCCTCCCGGGACAGGCCTGGAGAAGAGGACAGGCAGTGAGGAGACTGAGACTGGGTTGTGGTTTTTCCCTTTGAGGAGCTGACTGTCCTTTAGGAGAGAGAGACTTGAAAACAATGATTTAGGAGAGGTATCAGGAAGTGAGTGCTAAATTAAGAGGTGCAAAAACTGCAGGAGGGATTGGAGGTGGGGGTGCTTTGTACTGGTCTAGGAGGGGCAGGAAGACTGGTAGCAAGGAAGACCCAGACAGTAGTGGAGGAAGACAGTGGAAGGGGCAGTGGGGAGATGAGGTAAAGCCCAGTAGCTCTTCCCTGAAGTAGGACACAGGCTACCCTGCGAGGGAGTGTGCTGCTGCTTAGGAAGGAGTGCTTAACCAAGGTGCCAGGAACTGTTCTCAGCACTTGGAGGGATAACTCATTTCAGCCCCACAACCACCATAGGAGGGAGGTACTGTTATCTCCATTTACAGGTGAGGAAAGAGAAAGAGGATAAGCTAGCTCCTGGGACTCCATGACCAGCACACTGGGGTGGCTCCAGTGATGGTGGCAGTCCAACTCTTTAGTATAGCTGTACCCAATCTTTTTGGCACCAGGAACCAGTTTCGTCGAAGACAATTTTTCCAGAGCTGGGTGGCAGGTGGGGGGAAGGATATGGTTTGGGGATGATTCAAGTGAATTACATTCAAGCTCATCTCCTGCTTGGTTCCTAACAGGCCCTGACTGTACCTTCTGCAATCAGGTGGCTGGGGACTCCTACTAGGAAGCTATTGAAATTTCTAGCTAATGATGATGAGGGTCTGGCCTGGGACGGGGCAGAGTGGGTAGTGGAGGTGGGGGAGGGGGCAATGATACGGGGGCTGTGTTGGAGATATGGAGAAAGAGTAGTGAGTAGCTCCAAGTGCCTACTTGGATGTTGAGGGGAGCAGATCGAATCCTGAATTATAGGGAAAGATAAGATTTTGCTGTGGGACTCAAAGGCCCAGGAGTGTCAAGTGACACTGTTCTATAGGTCAGAAGAAATTCACTGGGCTTACAGGTAAAAAAAAGGGAAATGTTTGCCTTATTTGCCCATTTTCAGTGGAGACTGAAAGCTGTGAGTTGCCCAAGGTCATACAACTGGGAGCTCACAGGTCAAGGGCAGATCTCATCTGCCCTCACCTCCTCTTATCCATTGGACCTCCACTGACCAGGCTGCTTCCAGCTGCCCAGCAGGACAGGGCTTCAGGCTCTGGATCACTAGTGCAGGTGCCGGAAAGCCGGGTGGTTAGGAATGAAGACTCCAATGTGCATTATTATTGTTACTGATATTAGCAGCTCTGGTGATGTGGGAGCTGCTCAGGTGCCGGGTACGTTTGTATACCTGATCTCATTTAATACATGGGAGTTTTATTGGTGGTCAGAGAGTTCACCAGAGCCCTGCTTTGTAGTGGGAGGGAGAAAATGAACTGACATCACCTGTTTTCTCTCTCTGATCTTGGTGTGATATCTGAGAGCCTAGAGAGTAAAGTCCTGTCTGTGCTCAGGACAGGTGGGGCTGAGAGAGGGACAGGCCGTGCCTGTTCTCCAGATAGTATGAAGTCTAGGGTCAGAAGGTTTCTGGGTCCTGTATTTCTTGTGACTTGTTCTCTGTATCTGGGACTCTCCCATCCTAGGACCTTATCAACCTCTAGGATGTTGTCACTTTGCCAGGTGCCTTTATGGCTACTGCTTTTCTGCAGGAGTCACAACAAGGGCCAAAGAGGTTAAGAAACCACCCAAGGACAAATACCTTTAATGGTTTGTAGACACAAAGGTTTCAAAGTTTCCTTGGTTCGTTCCTTAGCAGTAGAGCCATTTTTTTTTTCTAATGCTTTCCTGTACAGACTCCTAGATTCTCATCATCTCCAGCAGGTAACAGAGATCTACTGAAGCTGGAGTAGGGAAGGGGCCCAGAGCCAGCTTCCCCTGCCTACTGCCCTGCTTCAGCACATGGAATCCCCTCTAGGAAACAAGGGGACAATTTGAGAACCACAGCCCAGACTCCTGCCTGGGAGCCCTTCCCAGTGCCCAAGACTGCCTTTGTCTCCAGATTTGAGTTGAGGTCCTGACCCCTTGGGTATCTATCTTTTTGTACCTCTAATCCTTTTCCTCACCAGTAATATTGAACCCTTAACACCGAGGGTCTATACTTGGAAGGCCACAGTTGGTGTTTAATGGCTGAATGCATCTCATCCTCTGCATAATATGCAGTTGTCTGGGCAGCTGTAACAGGCTTTATTGTGATTTAGGAGGGTGATATTGGGCAAGTCTCCTGATCTCTGCATAAGTTTTCCTTTTTGCATAACGCCCCCACCCCCACCTTCCTAGCCATCAAGGAGCTTCCTACTCTACCAACCTCACAGGTTTAAGAGTAAAATAGGACCTATGCAGGAGCACAGAGAGTAAATGAGGTCCTTATTCATGTATTCCTGGGACTGAAATTAGCAGTAGCTCCTGCTCACCTCTGTGAGTTAGCAGCCAGCCTGATGTTCTTGCTAGGGCTCTGACCACAGGACTTTCCCAGGAATGTGGCTTTGCTTTGTGTCCCTCACTGAGAGGTATGCCCTGGTCTTGCCTCCTTTTGCACCTGGTATAGGGTGTATTCCATAGACCCTGTCAAGTTTCCCAGCATTGCTTTCATGCATGGGCTGTCTCGTTTTGCTTACCTCCCCAAATTATGTGGAACCTGGGTTGCTTCCGCATATACCAGTTGGGAGGAGGACTTTGGTTTAAAGGGAGCTTCAGATGGAGGTGGCAGTTATTGCAAACTTAACTGTCCATTTATCCCATTGCTCTTCTTGCACACCATTGAATGCCAGGTCAAACACTGTGCCAAGCATCTTAACAGTGTCTTAACAGGAGGCCCTGCCGTCTTGGAGAGCACAGTCTCTGAGTGAGATAGATAATAATTTGTAATACAAATCAGAAGGGAATAGATAACTTGTGATCAGAACAGTGAAGAAAGCAGATGGAGAAAATGACAGGAGGGGACCCAGTTTGGGTTGTGTAAGCAGAAAAGATGAGATGTCTCTGACATTTCAGCTGAGACATGAAGAATGGAGAAATGGGGACACCTGGAGAAGAGCCCTTCAGGTGGAGGGGCCAAAAGGTCTGAGGGAAGAAAGTTCTAGGCTTGTCCTAAGCATGGAAGGATGGCTGCTGCGTCTGCCTGAGGTGGCCAGGGAGAACACTGGGGGATGAAGTGGGAGAAGGAGACAGGGAGTATCTTCAGCGCTTGTGCGTTGGATAAGGAGTTTTATTCAGAAGTATTTCTTTTGCTTTCTAGGATGGTGGTTGGGAATGGCACCTGGGTGATGTCCGAGTGCTGCGAAATAAGGGACAATTCACTGGACACCTGGCTCAGCTTACCAGAAGAGACGGGGCTGGGGCAGGGGTCCAGTGCTGAAACCAGAGGCTGAAGAAGCGCCTCAGTGGCTCCCGACCCCTCCCATCAAGAAGCTGCTAGCACAGAAAGTCTGGTTGCCAAGTTCTGGGAGGAGCTGAGCAAGACTGAAGGGCAAGGTGCAAACATCACTGTCAGTACTAAGGAAAACAAGTTAATAAAACGGAGGCCTGGACAGAGTGTGGAAAGCGTAGAACCAGCTGGGTGGGGATTAGGACACAAATGGACTTGTACTGGGGAAACTCTAGGGAGAGAGGGAAATGACCATGTATTATGTTCCAGTGATTTTTACAACCCTCACAGACTTTCAGGCAGTTTTCTTGTTTTGCTTATAGAGAAACCCAGGCTGGCTGCAAGCTTTGGGTCAGAGTAGCCAGGCCAGAAAGGCTTTCTGAATTCAGAGGGGCCTTGGATTTACCAGTGAATAGAATTTAGATTTCTTACTCATGAAGATCATCAAAGAAAGTTCAGAGAACCCTTCAGGTCTAGTGAATAACTTGACAATGTTTATAGGTCTTGAATGGAGAACAGGGAACAGGTAGAATGGGGGAAGGATTCCCCAAGGAAGTCTATGCTGAAAGGTAAGGAGGAGCTGGAGAGGGAGCTATGATTAAAGGCCATATTCCAGACTTCGAATATACAGAAAACATGACTGTGGGAAGGTGGAAAGCATGTTCAGGGTCATCCCTGCGTGGGTTGGAGAGGCTGTGGTGGGGCTGTTTCTGACATGCCACCTCTGTGATGTCTTCCAGGCCCAGAGGCTGCTGGGCCAAAGGAGGCCCCACCGGTCCTTCTTTGAATCCTTCATCCGGACCCTCATCATCATGTGTGCTGCTCTAGCTGTGGTCCTGTCCTCTGTCTCCATCTGTGATGGCCACTGGCTCCTGGCTGAGGACCGCCTCTTTGGACTATGGCACTTCTGCACCAACTCCAACCATACTGGGACACACTGCCTCAGAGACCTGAGTCAGGCCGGCATACCAGGGCTGGCTGTGGGCATGGTCCTGGCCCGCAGTGTGGGCACCTTGGCTGTGGTGGCTGCCATTTTTGGCCTGGAGCTCCTCATGGTGTCCCAGGTGTGTGAGGACCTCCACTCACTGCGCAAGTGGGCCCTGGGCTCCGTCCTCCTCCTCATCTCGTTTGTCCTCTCCTCTGGGGGGCTCCTGAGCTTTGTGATCCTCCTCAGGAACCAGGTCACGCTCACTGGCTTTACCCTGATGTTCTGGTGCCAGTTCATTGCCTCCTTCCTCTTCTTCTTGAATGCCATCAGTGGCCTTCACATCAACAGCATCGCCCATCCCTGGGGCCAACTAAGGAAACTTTAGGGCCAACTCTCTAAGGACATCTCGTTCTACAAGCAAGTGCGGCCAGGATGGGACTTTTCCAATACATGACCTCTGGTGGGGGTAGGAGTGGGACAGTGACCTTGAAACTGCTGACTCTTACCCAATAACCTTTGGGTGGGCAGCCAGAAATGGCCCAGGGGCATTTGGCCAAGGCCAGAGGCCAGGAAGATGCCTCAGTTTCACCAGCTTCACAGGCTTAGTGAAGTTGTTAGGTTGTACAATAGATTGTAGAACACGTTTTAAAATCCTCTTCTGAATCTTGCTTCCCAGGACAGGGATAGATTTGGAAGCAGCTCTGGTAACTGGTGCCTGGACCGGCGGCACAGCCAAGTGCTGTTCACACCTGTTTTATGGCTCTCGGGGTTGCAAAGAGTGGATCATTCTTCCAACTAAGGATGTCCCATCAGTGCCTAGGGCTCTCTTTTACCAACTCAGAGGACCTTTGTGCATGTTTCCCTGGTTTAGCATTGGTTACACGAGGGAGGCTGAGTGCAGGATTCCCTCAGAATTTCTTGCATGTGGTAGGTTTTCAAACGTTACTTGATGCAACCCCTGCCCTTTGGGGAACCCCATAATCCCTGCCTAAGCCCAGCTTCCAGCAGCTGGCTGTCTCCTCTGGGGACTCTGCCTGTGAGAATCCTGCCTGAACTCTTTGAGAAGAGTTTTTGAGTAAGTCTTCCAGAAAAACGCACCTGATTCTAATGCACAGCCCTCCCTGAGGCGAGTGTGTGTCCATCTTTGGTGAGGATCAGACAGCCTCAGGGTACCAGTTTTGATCCCAGAACACATCCAAAGAGCACATGTCTGGACCTGCTGGACCTTGGGTAATGATTCATAAACATCCTAAAGATGAGTACATGTGAAGGGAACCAGGAACCTGTAAAGATTTCCATCCTTGGCAGCAGATGAGTGTTTTTGTGCATTAAACTGCCCCCTTTCCAGTCCATTTTTGGCCTCAGCCCATTTTATTCCACACTAGTCCCTTCTTGTTCTCCTACTTAATGAATTCTGGCCTTCCCTGGTTCATACTGGCTGCCACTGATAGTATGAATTTTTGGTCACTGCAGTTCCCATTCTTGCGCTAGGCTGGGTGCCTATACCTACCTCTTGTGATTTTTTTTCTTAAACTTTTATTTCAAAATGCGCAGTCTGTGGAGGAGGCTCAAGAGAGGTGTGGACCAAGTGGTGTTTTGGAGAGTGGAACTCATCAACCCTATAGACCGGGTCATTAGCCTTGGACCTGAGCACCTGGCCTTCTCACCAGGAGCAGCTTATAAGGTGCAAAGCGTGGCCTCCTTGTCTCTGCAGTGGGAGTTGCAAAGGCTAGAGCCACCCAAGGCCAGGACTTGAGCTGGACCCACTCACCGACAAGATGCTCTTTCCTCCCCAGTGGTGTCTGGAGCGGGGAGGGCGGCAGTTGGTGGCCCACCCTCGTCTTTCCAGAATGCGTTTGCCTGGGCAATGATAGTTTTTGTTTTATAAAAGGATTCAGATATCAAGTCCTCTAACCCTCACAAGGCTGATGGGGAAGGAATGTTAGTATTCAAGGGAACTGAGGTTCAGAGAGGAAAGGGTGAGACTAAAATTCCCAATGGGATGGGGAGACAGGCCCTGGTAAAACAGACAAAGCCTTGGAACATGGAGATTTGAGACCAAAAGGCTGGACTGGACTTCTGCCACTTCCTTCCCTAGTTGTTTGGGCAAGTCACAGGGCCTTGGTGAACCTGTTTCTCTCTTACCAGATGGTATCATGCCCCAGCTCCTCCCGCTATACCTGCCTTGGGGGCTATGGGTAACTGAAGGGCCAGTAACAACAGAAGGATGCTTTGGACCGTGCTAGGGTTACTAAGAGGGAGCTGGGCGTCCTGGGGCTCTCCTGGCCTCCACTGGGACTTGATCAGATTAATTCAGTAGTTGTCTTGAAGGCTCTAGGATGAGAGCTGCTGGATAGCCAGGTTGCAGTGAGGCATGGAGAGTGTCCTTGATTTCTCATGTTTCCTGGGCTTCTAAGTTTACCCCTGAACACTGGAGCAGGGGATCAGGGAAGCCCTCCACCCCTTCCAGAAAGGAGTAGGTGAGCATCCCCCCTCACCTGTGTCTCAAGGGCAAAAAGACTGACAAATACAGACCAAATCTCATCCCAGTTACCATTTCTCTTCCTTCTAAGACCCCTGAACTGCTCTTCTCTCCCCCCCCTACCCCATGGTGCCCCACGTTCCTTCTGAGTTCTGAGGAAGTCTCACCGTCCAACCCAAGGCTTGGAGAAAAGGTTATTAGTCACAGGGGAAAGCATACGATGTCTGTGAGGAATATGGACTGTCTCCAAGCAGTGTCCTGTCCTCTCAAGACCCTGCTTGGCTTATGTCCATAGGTGACCCTGCCCAAGCCTCTCAGATGATGCTGGCCCTGCAGGTGCCTGGGCTCGGCTCCGAAGGGCTGGCCTTGGTGCTGTGGGTGAGGCCGCTGGTGCCGTTGCTGAAGGAGTCGCTGAAGGCCACGGGGCACAGTAGGAACTCAGGCAGGTGCCACTGCCGCCACTTCTTCTGAACCTCCAGCTGTACCTGGCCCCGGAAACCAGCCATCAGCCCAGGAGGGGAGACAGGAAGGACCGGGGGCCCAGACCCGTGCTCGCTACACTGGTGCCTCTGCACAGGCCCTGCCACTCTTGCCCAGTAGTCATGCCTTCCCATCTCCTGCAGGTCACTCAGGTTGATCAATTCTAGCCCCAATGCCCAACAGGTATCGAGAGTCTCCTTCCCTGGGTACGTTCACCTGCAATCTCCCTACGTATGTCCTGAAGAAGGAGCTTGTGGTTACACACTCCAGAGCTCCAAAATCCAAGTCATCCCATGGGACAACAGGGTACATTCCCAGGAAGCCACCCTAGCTCAGAGCTAATCTGAGGGCCAGGGAGCTGCTCTTTGGAAATTTCCTTCATGAATGCCAGCTCTAGCAGCAACACCTTTGAGGCTAGGCTCGATGACTCATTTTTGGAAAATATCAGAAGTTGTTCCCATTCAAGTGTGGCAAAGCAGATATATGATCAGCAGTCACAGAAAGGCTTTACTTTTGTGCAAGCTGTGTTCAAGTAATGATCACACAGCTTCAGTGTGCCAGGAACCTCATGTTCTGACCCAAAAGCTGGGCAAGGGCTGAGGCCTTAAAGTAAGTGTGCAGCCGCCAAAGGAATTTGTTCATGTGGGGTTCTCTTAAGTTGGCAGAAAAGTTACCTGAGTCACTCATTTTACAGATGGGAAGACTGAGACCCAGAGAGGGGCAGTGACAGATCACCTGTCCAGCAGGTGGAGAGCAATCAGGAGCTGAGTTCAGGTTGGGGTGCATGTACTTTCTTCCACTTCCTGACCTTCCCAAGGATAAGAACCACCTCTAGTGCTTGATCAAAGCATTTGTGGGCTCCAGCCCAGACCATTTTTGCTGAATTAGAAATGGGGGCGGGCAGCAGTTGTTTTGCCAAGCCCTCCAAGGGAGCTCACTTTATGGGACTCCTAGAAGTCAGGCTCAAGTCAGGACACACCAGCACCCCTTGCCCATACCCTACCACCCTTCCCAGGCAGCTCCCTCTGAACCCAAATCCAGTGACTGGGGAGCTCCTCCAGGCATTAGGGTAACCCAAGTACACTCACCTCCCCATTGAGGAAGCAGTAGAGGACAGCCACCACCAGGCCCTGCAGAGGGAAGGGGTGGCATTAGCGTAGGTGCTCCAGCACCAGCCTCCCTCCTCCAACTTCCTCCCAGTGCTACAATCACCAGCACCAGACTCACTCCCCACTACCCCCAGGAAGTGTTCCAGAGCCTCCTCATACTTCTCACCTCAGGAGGGACTGGGGCTGCCTCTTCTGGGCCCCCACAGTGTCCCTGGCCATGCTGGCATCATCCAGCACAACCAGCTCCTTGGGGGCAAAGACAGGGTCCCTTTCATTTCGTATCCTCAGTGTCTAGCATAGACCTTGCACCCAAGGCTGCTAACTAGGGCTGTGGGAAAGGCAAGTCTCCTGAATTAGTTAGGTGGGCCACCTGGAAGCAGGAAGTGGTAGCACCTGAAGCACCCCCCGCCCCCGCCCCGTCAACTGGGGCCAGTCCATGTGAGGTCCTGAGCCCTAAGAGGGTTCATTTTCAAGATAAGCTGGACCTTTCAACCAGAACTGCCATCTTTCAGTAATTCACCAAAATGACTAATGAAGGGAAAGAGGAGAAGCATCCATTATATATTCTCTAGGCCTTTTAAAGAACATGGAGTTTTTTCTTTGGCCACATGCATGCGAATCTACAGGAAAGGTGACATTGTAGGCATCAAGGCAGGGGCACTGCTCAAAAAGGAAAGCCCTGTGTTTGTTCCCATGGCAACATGAGGAGTCTACAATGTCACCCAGCAAGAGGCAAACATTGTGAACAAATATGTTGAGGGCAAGATTCTTGATAAGAGAGTTAATGTATGTATTGAGCATGTTAAGAGTTCTAAGAGCTGAGATAGCTTCCCAAAATGTATGAAGGAATATGATTAAAAAAAAAACAAAACCAGAAGGCAACAAAAAAGAAAGATACCTAGATTGAACTGAAGCACCAGCTTGCCCCACCCAGAGAAGCACACTGTGTGAGAACCAATGGGAAAGAAGCTGGGGCAGCTGAAGCCCATTCTCTATGAATTCATGGCATGATAAGTGTAAAAAAACAAAAGACCTCTGCACTGATAAAAAGTGTTTCTTTTAATTGAATAGAAGGGTGGTATCTCCTTCCCCAAAGATATATTTAAAGAAAAGAAAAAAACTGAAATCTGAAGATATTAAACATGGACAGCTATTCAAGTGAAAAATAAATGTGTGACTGTGTGGTCAGAACGAAGCCTGTGTGCATGTCCTGGCCTGCCAGCCATGGGGGTGATTTCCCTGCTTAACAGGCGGGTGAGTGCATTTCCCTGGTCCGGGGCCTCCTGGCTATATCCACTTTGTGCTCCCTGATGTGGTGAGGGTCTGTGCCTATCAGGACCCTCCCTCCCTGGTATCTGGAGCTCCTGCTTTCCCCATGGTGTCCCTGGGATCTTGGCATGGAGCTCTGCCTGGGTAGGGGTTACAGCCTGGGATGCAGGATTTGAGATTAAGAGGCCAGCATAGAACCATGAGCTGTGAGCAAGGTCTCTGCAGTGCAAATACCCTACTCACCTCCTCAGGGACCCACCTCCGGCCAGCCTGCTCTTCCTTACAGTTGCCTAGTTGTCACAGCTCTGACCTCAGTGGTCCAATCCCTCTTCCCTAGACCCATCCAGCTTTCCCCTTAGCTACTTACTACATTGGAAAGGACCCAAAGATCAACAAACCAGCCTCTCTATAGTGGGCTTAATATACACAACTGCTCAAGGGTATTGGCATTTATCAAGGCTTAGTGACAAAACTAGCAGGACTTGCTTTAGAATTTTAGGCATCAATGAATACTGCCTAGAATGGAGAGAATTTTGGTGGGTAGGGTGGTGAGCACTTATTCAAAGCAGTGATTTCCAAATTTTGCTGCACCTTAGAATCACCTGAAGGCTTTGCCCATATTTCACTCCGTACCCCAAATCTGAATGTCTGGAGGTGGGAGCATCAGCAGTTTTGAAAGATCCCCAGGAGGTTTGGATGGGCATCACTTATGAGAACCACTGTCAGAGGCATGAAAGGGAGGCTTTGAAATAAAACAGCTTTGAGCATAGTTTGGCCTACATATGTGTGGGCTTCTGGGTCCCAGATGCTTCATTTAATCCTTGCCAAAGCTCTAGGTAGATGGGAGGATCCCCTTTACAGGTGAGTGAACTGAGTCACAGGGGTTTAGGCTGGACTAGGGCTCTGTGTGTGCCTGGTTTAGAGTTGAAGGTCAGGCTGTTGGCAGATGCTGCTGCCCATCTCACCGGGCCCAGGGTTGCCTGGCCTTGCCTGTCTGGGTCTCAAGGATCCAGGGACACATTTTCACTATTCAGGCAAGGGCAGGAGCCCTGGGTGAGGAGAAGTTAAATGTGCTCCAGATATATATATGGCAGTCCTCACACAGCCAGCAACTTTGAGAAATTCTACCATGACATGGGGAATTGTTCATGGTGGGCAATATAAAGAATTAAACAAGCAGGAATCAAAACCACACATCATGATCCCAATTCTATCTGCCCGCGGGTACATCTGTGCATGTCTTCCTGAACAGAAGAGACACAGAAGTAAACACACCAACATCTTAGCAGAGGTTATTTCTGGGTCCTGAGATTATGAATGAATTTTTCTCTCTTAATTTTTCCTTAAATCCAAATTTCCTTCAATAGGCAAGTTTTATTTCTACAATTAGAAAGAGCTTAGTTTTTAAAAATATATGACAGAGGTAATGGTACTGTGGTTCCGTGTGGGTTCTTTAAGCCTGTCTTTTGGAAATACACACTAAAATATTTGTATTTGAAATAAAACAATGTCTTGTTGGGTTTAAAATGATGAGGGTGGGGCGGGGGAGGTGGTTGGTGATGGAGATGAAACAGGAGAGGTCGCTAGTAATGGCTGTGCAGGGGTGCACTATTCTCTTCCCTTTTGTATATGGAAGAAATTGTCCATAATACAAATTTTAAAAATAAATGTTATATATAATATAAATGCATACTATATATAAAATGATATGTTTGTATATGAACAAAGGTTCTTTTTTTTAAAAAAAAAAACTCTTAAAGATCTTTTATCCTTGTAAACATTTCTATGGGAAATTTAGGAAAGTGCTCTTGGTTTACCCTCGACAAGCCATTTCCCCAGAGGAAAATCAAATGGTCTTTGGTTGGGTAGGCCAGGGCCCCAGCTCCAAAGGGCGGGGAGTCCCCATCCACACAGGGAGGCAGACCTTGGTCTCCATGCTCTGAGAGAGGGCACTGCCCTATCTGTCAGCTGCATCAAGGCCTTCTGTCTGTATGGTCCTGGAGTCCCCCATCTGCTAAATGGACCACTGTGAGCCCAGTCTCCCCATACATTACAAGAGTAGTGGACATGAAAGCTTCCTGGCCCAGAGAAAAAAAATCATGGATTCCACAGGAGACTGGGATCTCTGGCAGCCTGGGATGCTGCCAGGAGCTCTGGGCAGAAGAGAGGCTCAGAGGAAGGCGGAGAGGACAGCCCTGGGGTGTGGCCTGAAAGCATGGGTCAGGTTCCTCCCTGGAACCTGAGAGTGACAAAAAGACAACCCTGGCCAGGCCCACCCCAAACTCGGGGAATGAGGGAGGCCCAGTCCAGCCTGGTAGGTAGGACTCTGCAGGAGGATCAACCTTGTTGAGGATAGGCTGGCTTCTTTAGGAAAACCCATTGGGAAAAATGTCTCAGGCCCCAATGCCTATAACCACTAGGCCTTCCCCAGGCTTCATAGCTTGTTTTCCCATGGATACTGTAAATCTTAAAACAAATTGTGTTTCTGTCTTTGCTTTGGCTATTGGAAAGCTCCAAACCAAATTTATGACCCACCTCTCCCACCTTTATAGGACTACATCGAATTTGCTTCTATGCATGAAGTCTTTTGGCTTTATTTTCTTTTTCCACTGATCCCTCATCTACTTATTTTCTGTCCTCTGTATATTTTTTCTTGAAAGCTACATCACATTATTTTTGGAAAGAAATAGCTATGAGTAAATAAACAAATAACCTTATGAAGTTTGGGAGTCCCAGAAGTCCAAACATGTTTACTGTCTTTTTTTTTTTTAAACCTCACAACTTCTGGTTGAATTAGTAGGTAGGTGATTTCCCCCTTCACTTTTTTTTCCTTTTAAGTTGTTTTTTTATTTTTACTAAGTTGTGTATGCACGTGGTTTCAAAGAGTCAAATGATTCTTGTCACAAAAAAACAGCAGGCTCTGAACACCCCCGCCCCCATTTCCTGTTCTTCAGAGGCAACTGTTTGGAATTCTCTTACTGATTCTAAATAATATGCTGATGTTGCTACTTCTGAATTTTTCAGTTTGAGTAATTTCTATGGACTTCCCAGTACAAATATGAGCCTATTGTTTTTTCAAACACCCTCTCAAAATGCTCATCTTCCTGCTCCACTTTTTGATGGCTCAGCCATAGCCCTCAGGACTTACATTAATGTGACTGTGTAGATGCCATTGAGAGTCACACTACCCTGCGATTAGGGTTGCTTTTCCCTTTTGTTTTCCCTGGAATCAGTCTCTCTCTCCTCAGTTTTATCTTCCACCCCCATCTGACTGGTGGGAAACTTGGGTTCCCCTCAGGGTCACAGCACAGTGAGGCCCTGCCCCTCTGCTTCTCTTGGGTCTCTGCCAAATGAGGCATCCGCCTCCCCAAACCGCACTGCTGAACTCTTCCAGGAAGATCTGGCTTGCTGTCGCTATGGCCTACAGCTTTCTCCAAGGACACAGGGAACTTCTCTTTTCACCTTATAGTCACAGTCCCTGAAACTTACCTGGAATGAGCCAAGAGCCAGTTCAAAAAACAGCTGGATCTCCATAACATCATCTGATGAAAAGGCAAAGATGATATAGTGGGCGCCAAAGAGAGGGATCAGCAGGAGGGTGGACTTGGCCAGACGCCTGAGGACACAGAGACACGCTGCAGTCTTCTGTCTCTTACCCTACCCGTGAGCACACAGCTTTGTACACCCATCTTTCCTGCTTGCCGGAGGCTTGGCAGCAGTGACCCCAAACATTTTTGTTTTTATTTTTTATTTCAGAAAATTTTCAATTCTCATGTACCCATCACTGAGATACAACCCTTACAACCCATGACCAGTTTCAAAACTTTCTGATCAGTCACCCCTACCAGAAAAAAAAATCTGAACATGGACTCACTCAAATAACTATTTATTCATAAATAATGTGCACATATGACTGATACTCTAGGTATTATTAGTGAGGCCAGCATTCTTATTTGTTTGATAATAAGGAGAAGTTCTTTCATTTTCTTCTCAGGTTAGATTTACCAAAATTAGCAAATAAAAATATAGGATGCCCAGTTTAATCTGAATTTCAGATAAGCAATGGATTGGGGGGGGGGGTGTAACTACTAAAAAAACCTATTAATTGTTTATCCAAAATTCAGATTGAACTGGGCAGCCTGATTTTATCTGGAAATTTTATCCTGTATACCCAGCTCCACCCTACGTCAGAGCCCACTGCCCTAAAGACATCCTAAGGAATCTACTGCTAGATTCTTCTTAAAACCCTGAACATCACAGAGAAAGCTTCTGTGAGACACTGGTTCACATTTAATTTCTGTTATGGGTTGAATTGTCCCCACTCAAATTCACAAGTTGAAGCTCTAATCAGCAGGACGTGAGAATGTGACTGTGTTCTCAGATGGGACCTATAAAGAGGTGATTAAGTTGAGGTCATTAATATATGGCTTTAGTCCGGCTGGTGTCCTTCTACAGAGGAGACACCAGGGATGAGAGCACAGAGAAGGGCCCTGTGAGGACACAGCCTGAAGGCAGCAGTCTACACGCCAAGGAGAGAGGCCTTAGCTGAAACCAAACCTTCATCTTGGGCTTCCAGCCTCCAGAACTGTGATGAAATTAATATCGCTTGTTCAAGCCACCTGGTCCGGTATTGTGTTATGGGAGCCTGAACAAATGAACACAGCATCTCTCTGGAACATCTTAAAGGTTTTAAAGTATTTTTGGATCACACATCTTAAAAATCTGATGATCTCTGCCTCCTGAGATCCTGCTGAGATTTCCTTTCTTCTTACCCCCAGAGCAGTGTCTCAGGTTTCACAATGGACTCACACCACTGCCCCCATTTATACTATTATTTTGAATATAAACCCTTTGAAACTAGGTCAGGTTTTCCCCTTCTCCTCCATCTCTAGCAGTGCCTAACACCAGCTGGGTAAACAGTTGTTGCTCCGTAAATGTGTGCTCACTGAACATGCATAAGTCTCTGCCCTCCACTTACTTAAAATGGTTTACTTCATTTCCTCTTGTTTCTTGAGTTCTAAGTTTTCTCATCAGGATTCTTAGAATGTTTATAAAAAGGATGAAATTAATCTGAAAAACACAAGGCAGAGGGCCTTACAGGTGATTTTCACTCTCACCACCTCCCTAGGCCCTGCCTGGGGACCTGAAGGCAGAGAAGGCACTGCAGGCCACACCCAGGATACCCCCCAGGATGATACATCATTGCTTCCCCACCTCACCCCCACCCCCTCCACCTACTTGTCTTGGTGAAACGAACTGCCTGGAGGCCATAGAGGCACAGCACTCCTCCTAGCCCTGGGCTTCAGGAGCAATAAGGCTGACTCTGCCTCCAGCCGTGTGACTACTCACACTTGGAGTGCATTGGAATCCTCTGGGGATCTTGTTAAAATGCAGGTCTGGTGGGCCTGAGGTTCTGCATTTCTAACCAACTCCCAGGAATGCTAAAGCTGGTTTTTGGACTATACTTTGAGGAGAACCTGTACAGAGAGGTTCTCAAAGTTTATAGTGCAGATTGCTGGGTGCCCTCCCAGCATCTGGGGTGGAGCTCAAGAATTTGCAGTTTTATAAGCTCCCAGGTGATGCTGAAGCTACTGGTCTAGGGATCACACAAAACTGCTCCCATGGCAGCTCAACCGTGAGCTCCAGGAAGCCATCCTTGATTACTTCTCTTTCCTAATTCATTGTAGTTAAGGATAGTGTTTCTGCCTAAGAACACTTGAAATATTTGAGAGGGGCCAAATACATGCATTTGTGAAACCTGTATGTTTGTCCACTTATTTGCCAATTCAATCATAACTTCTTAAAGGACAGGAAGGGAGTCTCTTCACTTCTTTTTGTGTCCCCTCCCACAAACCTAGTGGCAGAATGTTATGAAGTTGCCCACGTGGTGGCACCTCTCCTCCCCTCCCCTCTCACCCACCAGCTAGAGCCCCATTTACAGAGCAGGATTGAGTGGAATCACCCAGCCAGGCACCCTCTTCGTTCATACATATAAACTGGGGCCTGGGGACACTTGGCAAAAGACACAGGATTAGTGGCCTAGCCCAGCTCTTCTTCTTCGGGAACACTGCTTCTCAGATTGTTAGGCATCTGGCTCCGAGCTGGCTGTGCATGGGGTAAACTAATACAGGATATTTTATTTTACTTTATTTTTTATCTTAGTGAGCACTTGTAGGCAAAAGAAAAAAGAATCTTAAGATCCTGAGAATGAGATGTAAAATAATGGTATTCTAGGCCATGTGACAAGCTGGTATGGAGATATTTTGCATCAGGAGTACCCACCCAACATCCCTCAATCACCATAGACCACAGTCCCATGAAATAATCCTGGACACTGGGGCTGGTCATCCCTCAGCTGGGGTTTTACTCAGCTGAGTTGTCAGAGTCCCAGAATTACAGAAAGGAAACTGGCTTAACTAAATGAGGAGATAGCCTCCTATGGGAATATTACACAACCATGGCACATTGGTAGGTTGAATAATTTCAAAGGACGTGGGAGAGCTCATATCTATTGCTAAGTGAAAAAATGAACAAACTAGGATATAAACCATATTAAGCATTTAGAAAAAAAAGCGTGTGTGCTCAAGAAGAAAAAGATAGGAAGGAAAATCACATGCACAAGCAATGTGTATCCTGGTAATAAATGATGATTTATGGGTGATTTTATTTCCTTTTTAAAAATATATTTTCTGTCTTCCAATCTTTTTACATGAATTTTATTATTTTTGAAGAAGAAGAATGTCATGAGATGGCCACTTCCTCCCAGATGGCCCCAGGAGGTCACCAAGTCAGCCAGTGGGAGAGGAGAAGGCTGCTGCTCTGTCCTTTGCCCTCTCCCCACTCTAGTAAGGCCATGGAAGGCACTTTCTGTCAGCTGGTCCTGCGGGCTTGGAGTCCCTCTGAGCCCTGTGTGCAGCTCAGGGGCTGATTCAGTCCTTGAGGCAACCCCACTGTGTCCCTCGTGTGTCTTTCTTCCTCTGTCCCCATAGTCTTATCCATATCCATAAGCTCAGCAGGAAAACCTGGGAACTTAAAGTTAAGATGAGTGCCCAGGCCAAAGACCACAGCCTACCTCTGCTTTCCTTAGCCACAACTCACCCCTTCCCTCCATGATCCCAGCTCATGATTCTTTCCAGTTTAACAAGAGGATGTTTGTTCAATAACCAAGACCCAAAGATCTAAACCAGTGAAGGAACTGAGGCCAATACAGAGCTAGCCAGTTTAGGGCAAAGAGCTCTGCTCACCACATTTTAGAACCTAGTCATAGATAAAAGTGAATGACATAAGCTCTTGCGCCTCCTACCTGTTACTGACCCCACTCTCATCCACTATTCTCTAGGGGTGGAACTTCCAGCCCCTCATGCTGCTGGTCAACCTTTGGAAGCTCTGAGGTTTATTCCTACCACACATGGAGGGAGAGGTGCTAGCCCTGTCTCCTCTGTCCCTACAGGACAGTCACTGTCTGGTCTCTTTCACTGGAGCCCAGTTCAGGGAAGGATGGCCACTTACCAGGATGGAGAGGATCACAGGCCCTCGAATGACCCACCAGACAGATGCATTGGTGTTGATGTCCCAGCACCTATGGAGGGACAGCAGGGCATCATTAGGAGTGGGGAGCTGGGCTGACCAGAGAAGACTCATTCCCTGAGATGCCCTTCGAATGAAGGACCCATGCTGTCATCCTGAGCCCTGGGCTGTGTGCTCAGTGCACTCGGAATCAACCCTCTCCTGATGCCCAGGAACACAGCTGGGGTTGAGGGAGCAGTGCCCTGTCTCCATGCACCCCTGGTGAGCGTCTGGGGAACAGACATGTATGGAACCTGAAAGCCAGAGATTTCGGATCTCAGCACTAACAAAGTGGCAAACTCAACAATAGCCAGACAAGTGACATCAGTGAGTGAAGAGGCTGGGTGATTGACATGTGACCTCAGGACCCCAGGGAAATCAGACATGGAGGATACTTGGCAAATTGGAGAGTATGTATCTGGTCTAAGGCAGTCATGACTCTGTTCTAGCTCATTTTGCCACAAAAGAAAATGGGAGTTGTTCATAGAACTTTTAAGTTTTCTAGAGAAGCTGAAAATCCAGGTTTTTCAAACAGTGAATTTACCCAATTATAAAAATTATTTTAAAACAATTATTTAGGGTCAATTTTAACAGCAAGACACTTGTCAGCTTCATCAACCTGGTTCACTTCCTGGCCTGGTTGTATCATTATGACAAAGAGAACCAGCCTCCTGCTCTGTCATGCTGCCTCACTTCCTCCCTGGCTTCTTTCAAGGTTTCTTTCCAGGTGCCTAGACCCAAAAGGCCCCCAGGCTCACCTCCCTCCCCAACACCTCAAATCTTTAGAGAACAAGACTAGATGCCTTTGTCCCCAGCAGAAGTTGTTGAGGATGTGGCTGCCACTCTCCAGGCCTGGCTCTGCAGGACTCTCAGACACCCAGGTGCGGTAGGGAGGAGTGAAGGAGAAAAGTCAGGAGGAAGGAAAGGCCAGCTGGCCCTTTAGAGCTTCATCACTGAGCGGCACCTGCCTGGACTTTCGAAGCTCTTGTTTGGCACCTGACTTAACCACAGAGCTGCCAGGGCAGGCAGGCAGGGAGGGTGCAGGTGTAGCGAACTCACACCCTCAGAGAGCTGGGCATTCAGCAGCCTGGCACTCCAGAGAATCCTCCTATGGCCCCCAGTTTGAGAAACAGCCCTCTCCTAGATTGCTCCAAAGAAGTGTCCATCCTGTTTGAAGAATTGTACAATATAAAAAACACTCTTGTCATCTCTCCTTCAAACAACTTACCCAGCATCTTCCAGAAAGTGCCTGGTGATAGCCCACGAAGCAACAAAAATGGCAGGGGAACCTGAGGATTAAAAATAAAGGGAGAGGTAGAAGACAGAGGACTCAATTTTCCATGTCTGTATGAGGAACAGGACATTCAGGTACCCCAGCCCAGGTAGGGAGCAAGTGCCATGTAAACTGCCTTGTAAATAAATCATGCATTAATATGTAGCCTCATGCTTCATCCCAGGATGTCCTGGGAACCGAGGCAGGATGAGATGGATCCTGAAGGCCACAAGGGACTCAAGTTCTTCTAGAAGCCTGAGCCAGACTCTGGACCTCTGCAGAGAAGAGAGAGAAGGGGTGAAGTGATGTCTACACTGTGTTGTCCAGGACAGGGGTTGCTCACCACATGTGGCTATTGAGTACTTGATACGTGGCTGGTCCCAAAGGAGATGTGCTGGAAGTGCAAGACAGATACCAGATTTTGCCAATTTAGTACAAATAAAAGAATGCAAAATATGTTATTAACAATTTTTATATTAATTATATTTTAAAATGATAATATTTTGGTTCTATTGGGTTAAATAAAACATTAAAATTAATTTTACCTATTTCTTTTTACTGTGTTTACTGTGGCTACTAGAAAATTTAACATTTCATGTGTGGCTCAGATGCTATTTCTAATGGACATGCTCATCTATATGTTGAATGGTAGGAGCCCCACCCTTAGGCTGCTCAGTTTTCAGACCTCTGGCAGCCAGGTTTCTACCCTTGCTCCAGTTAGCCACCCTTTACCCCAGGCAGAAGATTAAAGAGTTCTTTTCTGGAGGAACCAAATAGCCCCAGACAAAGGGCCTATAGATAGCAGTGTAATTATTTAAAATGAGGTCATACGTTAAAGAATCCTAGACATATTGGGACCCTAATTCAATATGACTGGCATACTTATAAGAAGGCCACAAGAGACACAGAGAGAGAGAGGAGGCATAGAGGAAAGAAGGCCACGTAAAGATGGAGGCAGAAATTGGAGTAATGCAGCTACAAGCCAAGGAATACCAAGGATTGCCAGCAACCACCGGAAGCTAGGAGAGAGGGCTGGAACATATTGTCCCTCAGAGCCCTCAGAAGGAATCAACACAGCCAGAACCTTGGGTTTTGAATTTTTGGCCTCCAGAATTGTAAGAAAGTGAATTTCTATTGTTTTAAGCCACCAAGCGTGTGGTAATTTGTTACAACAGACCTAGGAAACTAATACAGCAGGAAGAAAGCAAACAAATGGGAACTAATAGATTTTGTGTTGCATTTGATAATTTGGAAAATAGCATTGGAGGGTTTTCCAGTTCTGTTGGAGAATTTGTGAGAATTAATACAACAATATAAAACAAATAAGCAAATTAAAAATAACTCCATGAAAAAAATACTAAAATATTGGAAAGTCATTGTACACCACTTGACTTAGTGATAAACAATATTTACATAGATAAAATGATGTACATAATGAATATGACTTAACCAAAAATTGTTAAAAATTCTAATGCTAGAATTTTTATGCCTCCCTGCCTGCCTACCCTGGCAGCTTTGTGGTTAAGTCAGGTAGGAGAGAGGTGGTGGTTGAAGAACTTTTATATCCTTTTCTTTCATCATCCAGAGTCAATAAATAATGCCTCAGGTGGGTAAATCAAGAAATAGTAGAATATTGTTTAGAAGCATGAGAGCACATTACAAGAGGAACAGTTATAAAGTTGAAGGGTGTTACCTCTGGGAAGCAGAAGTGGGGACAGGAGACTGCTTTATTTTATTATAAGCCCTGTACTCCTATTTAATTCCTTAAAGCAAGAACATGCATAACTTTGATAAAATAACAATTTCAAAAAATTTCCTGCCTCAATTTGAGGGGTTTTGGGCAAAAATATGGATTTTGAGGGCCACCTGTTCATCGTCTTCCACCTTTAATAGAGAGATGGTGGAAAAGTAAAAAACTGATAATGGCTTGAGTAAGGGTTCTCGATGTGGTCCCCGGCAATGCAGGGATCCCTTACATCCTTGTTAGAAATGCAAAGTCTCAGGCTCCACCTCTGGCCCACTGGCTCAGAGACTCTGGATTTGACACTGTGGGGGAGGATGAAATTTTCCTCTACCTTTCTTGGTTCTTCCAGCTGGTCTAATAATCAAATCAACAGGAGCCAGATTAACAAGAGAAAATACCAAATTTAATTACATACATACAGAAACCCTGGATACATGAAAGAGTCAGAGTCACCACATACATAAGAGGTTCAAAGACAGAAAGGGGAAATGAGGTACATATGGCAGTCAGAGACAAAGATGGATAAGGTGTCTTGGAGCTTCAGAGGGGAGGAAGGTCACTGAAAGATGATAAGAAGAGCAGATTTTCAATAATTAAAAGTTTGCCCTACCCTATATGTAGGTCATTAAAATTTATTTCTGATGATAATGTTTACTATGGGCAAGGCCCCAAACTGGTATTTAAAGAGAGCTAAAATTTCTTGTGAGCCCACAGGATCTTGATTGCCTTCAGCTCAAAATAATCTACATGCCAAAGTGGCACATCTTGGGGAGACCTGTTCTGAATTCCTTCAACATAACCTCACATAATTTTGATGCAGGTCGTGGAATGAGTTTCAGTTCATTGTTGAGTGGGAGCTTATTCATGTCAACAAAAGCCAGAGGTATCACCCTTCTTTGGGTATAGACTGACACCCCAGCCACCTTGTAAAAACTTTGGATAAGTGTAAAAAACTTAAAAATGTTCATTCCTTCCGAGTCAGTGATCTCACTTCTAGAATTCTATGTTAAGCATGGAAGAAGCTTTGCCCATAAAAGTATTCATCACTCTGTGATTTATAATAGTGAAATATTAGAGACAACTTAAATGTCCAAATAATAGGTATTTGGTTAAATACATCCACAAAGTAGCTGAAAACATTTATGGAAGACTTGCAGGAATATAGAGCATGCTTGTGAGATAATGGAAAGAAGCAAGATTCAAAATTCTACATACAGAATGACCATAACTATGTAGAGAAAATTGGTAGTAGGGAGCGCAGTCTAGAAGGAAACCCCATATGGATCCAAGATGGTGGCAGAGCAGGTTAAAGCTATTCTAACCTCCTCCCAGGACCAAATGGAATTACAACTAAATTATAGAAAAATCACACTGGATAACCAACTGAACACTAACTGGAGAGAAGCCTTATAACCAAGAACATATAGAAGAAACCACAACACTACAAGATTGGTAGGGAGTGAGGAGGAGGCATGAAAGGGCTGGCATGGCTCCCACAGGTGGAAGCTGAAGTTCCCGAGGGATATTTCAGTGGCCTGGCAGGTCCACCTGAAAAGTGTGGGATCTAAACCCCAAGCTGGGCTCCCCAGCCTGTAGCACCAAAACTGGAAAAGGAACCTAAATAACATTTGGCTGTGAAAAGCAGCAAGGTTTTTGTCCACCAGGGAGAAATAGCTAGAGACATAGAGAGTCTCTTAAAGGAACAACACGCAAAGTTTTATTTGCAACCACTTATCCTGGGCTCCAGCAGAGGGAGGGTAGAGTGGATTAGAGATGTGTGAGGAGAGTTTGGGTTGGTGGCTCTGGGGAGAAAGCTGAAGGGATAGCTGCTAGGATCCTTGTGCTGAGTTATCCCCATACTTCAGAAGCCATCCTTCTCAGGAAGAGCACGCCCCTCTAAGTGTCTTTAGCCCAAGGGGAAGCAATAGCCCCACTAGCAGGAATCTTTCTTGCCCCACCCTGTGGAGCTTAAGCTGGGCTTCAGAGGAGTACAGCTGGAGGCAATTTCAGTGTTTAATCTTAACACAAAGCCTGTAGGCAAAGACAGATCTCCAGAAGTTCTGAGGCTTTAGCTGACCATCCCTCAGGACTGGTGCTGGTAAAAGCCAGACTTGATGTACAGCCTGGTTCTTTCTGCACATACCTATGCCCAGCAGAGAGAGCCACAAGCTGTGGATAGCTGTTAGCTCCAAACAGGTTGCCCAGGACCAGTCACAGGCAGCATCTGGCATAAGTTTGTACCAGAGTCTTTGCAGATCTACCCAATACTTAGAAACAAACACAAAGAAGCACCCAAAAAGGGAAGACAAAGAAACAGGCCCAAAATGAAAGAACAAGAGAACTCTCCTGAAGAAGAACTAAATAAAACGGAGACAAGCAATTTATCAGATATAAAGTTTAGAGTAATGATTATAAGGATACTCAACAGCATGAAAAAAGACATGAAAACCATAAAAAGGACCTGCCAGAAATAAAGAAATAATACACTGGAAGGAATAAATAGTAGTTTAGATGAAGTAGAAGATTGAATAAGTGATTTGGAAGACAAGGTAAGGTAGGAAAAAAACCCCAAGCCGAACAGCAAAAAGAAAAAAGAATTTTTAAAAAATGACAAGAGTTTAAGAAACCTTTGGGACAACATGAAGCATAACAACATCCACATCATAGGAATATCAGATGGAGAAGAGGGTAAGAAAGTGATTGAGAATCTATTTGAAGAAATAATGACTGAAAACTCCACTAATCTGGTGAAGGAAAAAGACACACAAGTCCAGGAAGTGCAGAGAGTCCCAAACAAGATGAAGCCAAAGAAACCCACTCCAAGACACATCATAATTAAAATGTCAAAGCTTAACGACATGGAGAGAATCTTAAAAGCCACAAGAGAAAAGCAGAACTGTTAAATACAAGGAAGCACCAATTAGACTGTACTCTGATTTTTCAACAGAAATGTTTCAAGTCAGAAGGGAGTGACATTAAATATTCAAGGTGATGAAAAACAAGGACCTACAACCAGGGCTACTTTACCAAGCAAGGCTATCATTTAAAATTGAAGGAGAAATAAAGAGCTTTCCAGACAAGAAAAAGCTAAAGGCATTTGTTAACACCAAACCAGTACTGCAACAAATGTTAAAGAGCTTGCTTCAAGAAGAAGAAAGGAAAGGGAAAAAAAGAGGAAAAGAGTTTAAAATAAAATGGCAATAAATATATATCTATCAATAATTACTTTAAATGTATGTGGCTTAAATGTTCCAATTAAAAGACATATGGTA